TTTTTTTTTTTGGGGGGGGGGGGGGGGGGCGGTTCCCTTCCCGGAGAAACCGGGAGGGCAAACCCCCGGGCCCGGGGCCCTTTTTTTTTTTTTTTGAGGGCCCGCCCTTGGGTTTTTTTTTTAGGGGGGGGGGGAAAAACCTGGGGGGCCCCTTTTTTCCAAAAAAAAAAAATTTTCCGGGGGAAAAAAAAGGGGGGTGGGGTTTTTTTTCCCTTTTTTCCCCCAAAAAACCCCCCCCCCCCCCCCCCCCCTCGCCCCAGAACCAAACGTTCGCATGCATGAAATTTTTTTTGGGGGAGCGATACGGAAGTTTTTCCTTCAGGAAGAGTTGCCTAAAGGTAGGCAGGTGCATATGGTATTCATGTTTTGGTCCGGACGCCCCCCCCCCGCCCCCCACCCCCGGTTGCCGGTGTATCGCAGGCGGTCTGTCTGCGCGGCACCGTGTACCCATGTTCCGGGCGTGTCTCCCGTGGGTGGTAGGGACTCACGTGATGGGGAGGCTGATAGCCCAGCTCTTCTGCCACTCCGTCCTGCCCGAGTTCGCTGCTACTGCTTCTGCTGCTGGGGGGGGGGGAGACAGTGGTAACGGTGTTGGTGGTGGTGCGACGAGGATCGTCCACGGGGAGTACCACCTACAGGCGCTGTTCGATTTCCTGCACGATAATCCGGAGATGGTACGTAGGTCTACTAATACAAGTTTTGCTGCTTTTCTGGGATGACTCGTTTTTTACGGGCTCTAGTTATTTTTGAAGAGTGGTACGAGTTATGTGTGAAGGTTTCGTGCACCCTATGATACGTACGGTCGACTTCCCTGTCTCTGCTGCTGTCTCGCTTCTCACTGCTGCTGCTGCTGCTGCTGCTGCTGCTGCGTTTCCCGCACGGCGATGAAAGATAAAAATGAGACGGCGGCAGCTAGAGGCCTTCGGCCAAACCGACTGCGAGGCGTTGTGCACCGTGGAAGGGATGCTCGAGGCCCACGGCACCGGAGCCGCGGGCGAAATCACCCCTACCCACATGTGCGAGCTGTTCAAAGAGGTGGGTCGTGTCTATCGCGAAGAACATAATCAAATCGATTCGAAGGATATTTTTGGCACGTATCGGGTCTCTACGAAATCGAAAACATGAGTGAAAACGAAGACAGGACGGTCACATACACGCGCGATACATCCAATAACAGCAGGGAAACCGCATTCGGCAGTCTTGAATCTAAGTTTGTTTTTCTGTGTGGCGTTTCGTTTTGGGCGCCGGTTTCAACCACTGGAGGGTAAAGAATGAATGGTGATGCGTACCCCTGGGGCTCGGCATCAGCAAGGCTCCATGATGAAAAACACACAAGTTTTTCAGATGAAAGCTAGACACGTCGGAGTGGGCAGGGCGAGAGGCCCGTAGGATAGGCACCCTGACACGTATCAACGCCATTTTTGTTCGGCCGGACCACCATCACCACCAGCGCCGTTTGCAGTGCCGCCCTCCTGATGCCTGCTTGTCGCGATAAATTACCGCCTTATAGCTTTGCACTGCACATCGTCGTGCTTTTCATCTCATCATGATCAGAACTAGTTTGTGGCCATCTGCTGCACTATTTGGTCTGTGTCTCTCGCTCTGTCTGCCTGTCTCTCTGTCCGCCTGTATCTCTCTGTGCATCTCTGTCCCTCCAATTGTTTGTGTCTCTTTCTTTCTTTCTTTCTTTCTATCTTTCTATCTTTTTGTCTTTTTGTCTTTTTGTCTTTCTGTCTTTTTGTCTTTCTGTCTTTCTGTCTTTTTGTCTTTTTGTCTTTCTGTCTTTCTGTCTGTCTGTCTTTCTGTCTTTCTGTCTTTCTGTCTTTCTGTCTTTCTGTCTTTCTGTCTTTCTGTCTTTCTGTCTGTCTGTCTGTCTGTCTGTCTGTCTGTCTGTCTGTCTGTCTGTCTGTCTGTCTGTCTGTCTTTCTGTCTGTCTTTCTGTCTATCTTGTCTCTCTCTGCCTCACCTACCCCCCCTCTCCCTACACCCCCTGTGCCCTCGTGGACTCTTGACGGCAGACCATGGACGAGATCTGGAACGAAGCGCTCGTTGACAAGGTCCAGGTCCTAGAGGACGGACGGGCGTGGCTGCAGACTGCGGCTGCGGTTAACAGCGGGGCGTGGTTCGAGGAAGAGGGAGGACGAGCAGGAGCAGGAGCAGCAGGTGGAGGAGGCGAGGAGGCTGAGCTTTCTCTCAAGAGCGGCGGCGGTGGCGGTGGGGACAGCAGCCACATACAGCAGAAGATCATCCCGTGGGATACTCTGGACCTGGTGAGTGCTTACGTGTTGATGGGAACAGTCCTCGCGCCGAAGAAGCTGCTGTTTACACCATATGGGTGTATTATTGAACAGCCGCATCACCCAACGGCGGTGCTAGCCTCACGTCCGCTTATGTTTTCCCCCGTCATGCACAAGCACAGCATCCAAGCAAACTCGCCTGCGTGGCAGTATGTTGAAACCATGCCGCGCCGTTCCGGCCGATCTACCTGGCAACTCTGCCTGCCATCATCCTGTCTCATCTTCTGTGACAACGCTTTTTCGCCCGGAACGCCTCAAGCCTTCCCGATCGGAAACACTAGTTGGGACGCGTTTTGTTTTTTACCCTGGAAAAGACGCGGGATACCGATTCTCACCCATGGGGCGAAATATCCCACGAAGAACGACAATTTGTCCATTGGTTGTTCCACTTAAAAGCGAGATTGGTGTATCCTTTTCTTGTGGCTAGCGGTAGCAGGCCGATGATAAGCGTACAGGCACACAGAGCGCCGCACTTCGATTTGGTTTGTAAAGTATATATATTTTTTCTTTCGTTTCGATGTCAACGACGACGAAATGACACACTAATGCTTCATAGCCGGCAGGCTTTAATCTAGTCCTTGCCTCCGCTGCTGCCTGAAATGGTCATCTGTACCCTGCCTTAATTCTACACTATATAAATCGTCAATTGCTTTGTTCCTCGACGCTGTCTCCACCTCCCACTACTACCTAATGCGCGCCGCCAACAGACGGTCGCGTCCGCGACCTCAGCGTCCTTGGAGCAATCCACCGCTGCGGGCAGGGTCAGGCAGCCGGTGGTCATGTGCGCCTCTCTCGTTGATAAGGTATGTGTGTAGTGTGTAGCTCTCTCGTTGACATGGCGTGAACTGTAGCTCTCTGTTTTGACAAGGTGTGTAGCTCTCCCACTGACAAGGTGTGTATATCTCTCGTTGACAAGGGGTGTACTGCAGCTCTCTGGTTGACATGGTATGTGTAGCTCTCTCGTCGACAAGATGTGGACTGCAGCTCTCTGGTTGACATGGTATGTGTAGCTCTCTCGTTGACAAGGTGTGTAGACCTCTCGTTGACAAGATTTGTGGGGCATTTCATGTCCCTTTCCACCCCTTCAAGGGCCTACCTGTATTTTTTATTCTCCGCCGTTCTTGTTGCCTCTAGCGTTGGTAGGGTACGTGTGAGACGCTTGGCCTCCTTCTCTGTTCTGTTGAAGGCTTGGCTATTTCATTCAGTTCGAGCTTTCTCGCGCGTCCGTGCGATGCTGGTTGATCAAGGACAGCCTACTCTCTCCCCACCCCTCCCTGTGCATTATCTTTCTCTACGCTCCTCCTGTTTTCTCTTTTTTCCCTGTTGTTAAAGTGCTGTCAACATCACATACCACATGAGTGCGAGAGCTTGGCCCTATGGTTGCGTACGTATGTATGGGGCGCCGATTTTTGCGATCCAAACTCGAGAACTCACGTAGTGTCTACGGGAGAAGCCGCGGTTTTCGTTGCACTTCTTCAAGTGTGATTTTCACCAGGCAGGGTGAACATCTTCGACTCTACCCTCCCACCCCTCACCAACCAGTCCTGACAACCCAACCCGATGTCTACGGTTGACACGCTGAACACCATCACCATCACCATGATTCTCACGATTGTCGCCTTATCTTCCCTCCGTCTTTTCACCCCCCTCCTCCACAAAGTGACATCGATAGGATAGACAGAAATGTTTTTGAGGCTCCTTTTGGCAAAGTACCGGTGGGAAGGAACGATTGGCCATCGGTGATCGGTCCTGTGGGAACAATGCCCCGTCCTCTCGAGGACGCGTGGTCAATGGTCTAACCGCTAAGGCATGCAAAACATAAGAGTACGCCCTCCCCCCCTCCTCCTTGCTCCACAAACAAACGACATATAGGTTATACTATACCACACTAAAACCTAGTTGAAACACCATATACGGTAGATAACCC